TAATAAATTGCAAAAATGTGACACTTCAACATGTGATCATCACCACTCTTGGTGAAGCATGCATTAGATTAGGCCCTCACTCACTCCTTATAAACTCAGGCTAAGTCACTTAACTTTTCAATGTGAATATAAAATGAATTTCCAATAGTATTTATCTTGTCACGACTGCTTTGTTACAAATTATGGTCAAGAATTTATTAGTTTGAATAGTGCGTTTGGAAACAATTTTTGGTTTATGAGAAATCAATTTTGTGTGTGTATTTTTTTGTTAATCTTTGCACCAAATTGGATTAACAGGTTTAGTACCTTTGGTTTATAAGTCATCCATGTCATCAATCTTTTCTTTCTAATCTGACATAGTCTTGGAAGAAAAAATCTTTTGCCCAAATTGGAAACTGAGCCAAGAGCCAATGTAGGTAATTCATGTTCTAAAGCTGAGCAACTTAATTAATTACTAATTATAGGATGGTTGACCTACATTCAACTTCTTAATTGGCCAAATAAATATTAACGGTGATGAGCTTTCCGATGGGAGTATAAATTGGGCTGAAAGCAATGGAGTTTCATCATACTCCAAACAAAAAGGAAATAACAAAGTCTCAAGATGGGTTTGAAACTGAAAAATGTCTTGCCAATGTTTGTGTTCTTGTTGTTAGCATCAACAGCTAAAGCTCAATCTGCTGCCTTAGATGTGACAAGTGCAAAATATGGTGGAAAGCCAGATTCTGATATTACCCAGGTAACAAAAACATTTGTATTCATATTCAGTTCTGATTAGAATTTGTTTCTACAATTGTTTGCCAAACTAAATCATTAACAGTTTTAAATTTGGGTAATGTTAATTAGGCTTTAGAGAAGGCTTGGACAGATGCATGTGCATCAACAGCACCAAGTAAAATTGTTGTTCCAAAGGGAACATTCAAGTTTGTAGGAACAACTTTTAAAGGTCCTTGCAAGGCTGCTATTGAGTTTCAACTCCAAGGAACATTGCAGGCTCCAGCAGATGGCAGCCAGCTCCCGAAGGACGACACTTGGATTGGTTTTGACCACGTCGACGGGCTCACCTTGTCAGGTGGTGGAACTTTTGATGGCCAAGGAGCACTGTCTTGGAAAAACAATGATTGCAACAAAAATAGACAATGCAAATCTAAACACATTGTAAGATGATTTAATCCTACCATGTTGTTTTATATACTTGAAAATCTACCCATGTCACATAGGAGCATTTACGAAATCTTGCTCATTGATCAATTCTTGACTTGATGATACGTAATCCAGGTTCACAGCCCGACAATATAAACATATTTGTGTTTGATTGGTTTTCTCAATATATGCAGAATTTGAGGTTCCACTTCCTCACCAATTCCAAAATTTTGGACGTAACTTCAAAAGATAGCAAAAATTTCCACGTCAATCTTCAGAAGTGCGAGAAGGTTGAAATCAACGGATTTACCGTCTCAGCACCTAAGGAAAGCATGAACACAGATGGAATTCACATCGGTCGTTCAACTGGGATCGACATCATTGACACAACCATTGGAACTGGGGATGATTGTATTTCGATCGGTGACGGTACCAAGGACCTCACCGTGACCAACGTTACTTGCGGGCCAGGCCACGGCATAGCCATCGGGAGCCTTGGAAGGTACCCAGAGGAAGAACCTGTGTCCGGCATCAATATTAAGAAATGCACCTTGACTAATACAACGAATGGTGTGAGGATCAAAACATGGCCTGCTTCCCCAAAAGATGGCACTGCCTCGGATATTCACTTTGAGGATATTACCATGGTTAATGTTGGTAACCCTATCCTCATTGACCAAGAGTACTGCCCGTGGAACGAATGCAAAAAAGGGGTATCTATCTATAACAATTTATTAACATCATATATATGTTCCTTGTTAATCAAGTCATCATTTACTTAATCTTTAAAAGGATTTAAATTAATCAATTAATGAATGGTTTTGTGTAGGTTCCTTCCAAAGTTAAGATAAGCAATGTTAGCTTCAAGAACATCAAGGGCACTTGTACCGACCCAGTTGCTGTGAAGCTTGCATGCAGCC